CCCTATGCACTCTTTGCTAAAATAACATGGGGGGAGAATCCTGTCCTCAAAAGGGGCATGGGCATTGATGGCTGAGCACCGTATCCCCCAGAGAATGGAATGAGACAGAAGTAGTGTGGAACACCACTCAGCGTCTTGGTTTGCCTGGGCGGTAGTTCTTGTTTTCTTGCTCTGGTTCCACGGACTTTACTGCGCTCGTTAGCGGCCCTGCCTCACGTGTTTAAAGCCCACTGCCAGCTCGTGGAAAATAAGTGTGCTTCCTGCTTGCTGGGGGTTGAACCCTGCTGGACCAGGTGTGTAGTATTGATGTGGAGTTTTCCTTTAGGTAGATTTCTCTTGCTTTCCTGCTGATGAGCTGGCCTGGATGGCTGAAAAAAAATTCTTTGCATAGAAACATTATTTTCTTGGGAACTTAGGAGAAGGAGTCCCATGTATATTGAGGTGAGAGAGCAGAGAATCTAGCCTAACATTTTAAGGAAGAGTCAGGTAAAAGGGGGATATCCAGATTATGGTTGACCCACATTAGGCTCTTTAGCCAGCCAGAACAAATAGAGTTGGAAAACTATATTAAGCTTAGATTTGAAGGAATTTATTTCATGACAGTTGGATAATAGGCGACTAGCTCACTTAGACAAAATAAATGACAGATGGATCAAGACCAACTTTGTTATTGAGTGTTTTAGCCTTGGTTGAATTCTTTCCACTTATTTATTTCACAAATATTTTTTGAGCCCTTACTATGAAGTAGACACTATTCTAGACTTGGGGGAATTAAAGATGGGAAGAATTATTTCCTCATAAGGAGCAGACAGTGTAACAGGAAAATAGTTTGACAGCTAAAAACCACTGACAATAAGCTCCTAGCATGGAGGGATAGAAAAGCAGGATAGTGACGTGATCTGATTTGCATTTTAGTTAAATTCTTTTTTTTTTTTTTTGGTGGGGTTGGGGGTGTTTGAGTTCAAGACTAGAATCAGGGAGACCAGGACAATGTGAGTGGGCATGAGGGGGGGACAGTTCAGGAGCTTTTAGGAAGTACCATCTGCCACACTTGGTGATTGGATTGGAGGGAAAGGAGGAAGGAAGATTCCAGATTTCTAGCCTGGGCATCTGAGTGGATAATAATACTGTTTACTTCCATAGTGACTATTGGAGGGAAAATAAAATTAATTTAGGATTGTCAGTTTATCTGGGTGATGTTTTCCAGGGGGCCATGAGGCTCAGAGTTCAGGAGAAAGGCTTGGATGCCATTGTCTGAGGAAGAGAGAATCAGTCATAATCTCTTAGATCATGTGCCAAAAGAGATGTGAATCAATCTAAGAGAACCATTAGACCCTGAGAGATCCCGAGGGGATGTGGCAGGATACCCGTTTTACTGAAATTCCCCTAGAAGAAATAGAAGAGCTGTGAAGGGATTGGAAAACCATTTTCTGGAGTCTCCTTTGTCCTTTTGTAGCAGTCACTAAGTGGGCAGATTTACGTGTCTGAACATTCACTTCATTTCTCCCTAACCTTCCTTCTAAGGACCTTTATCCATTTCCTAAGTGTTTTCTTGAATTCCTCTTCATGGCAAATGTGGAGTAAACATGATTTTGTATTATTTTTGAAAGATGAGAATGTTTTGAGCACAGAACCCTTAAATTGAAAAGTTTAGGATGAAAATGTTGCCAGAGCACCCTGAGCCCATTTTCATATGTGCTGAAATAAAAATTAGGACTGCAAAAATGGAGGTTTAGCCATGTGTGGATTCCCACTGTTCCCATCTGACTGTTTCCTGAGGTCACAGGGTGAATTGGGCCTACAGGACAGAAATGTCTTGAAGCCCACACACTACGTAGCATGCCAGACTGCATGCCTAATTCATGCCTTCTCTGGGACCACATTTCTTTTGGTGCCCGCTGAGCTGAAGGGCACACCCCTCATCCATCTCCTGGGGCCTCTGCCTTCCTTTCTGTGACCGTATCAGGAAAGCTCAGTATTTGTGGGCCATCCGTGAGTCTGATGCCTCCTTTTCTCTCTTCTTCCTGTTTATTACTGCTCTCCCTGGAAGCAGTATTCCCTTTATTCTGGCACTTCTAGAAAGCTGTGTCTGCTGACCATTCCTCTTTGAAGTTTTGAGTCGCACTGAAATATTTATAGCTGTGTGGACAAGCACTTGAAAGGGATTTTTAGTTTCCATAAGATGTATCTTTTGACTTGCGGAGGCCTTTTGATGATACGAACTCACATACGGTTCCAGTTCAAGGGTGGCTTATTTCAGGGAACACCTCTTTGACATCCGTCAGCGATTGCACGCTCATTAAAAGCATCGATCTCCGCTTTCCTCCGGGTGAGATGACAGTGGGCTCTGGGCTCGGCCACTTCCTGGCTGTCAGTGGCCATCCCGGCGGTAGGCTCAGCTGTAGAGCTCTTGGTGTTTTGTCAACGCCTCAGGAACTGGGAGGGGAGCGCTGGGCTCCACGCATCTTAGTGTGTGTTGAGAGTCCTGGACTAGAAGTGGCAGCAAGGGGACGTGGTGTTTGGCGGTCCAGGAGCCAAGAGAATTCCCTGAAGTGTGAACTCAGAGAGCACAGCAATCATTTGCCTGGCACGTTGGAGACCCACGTGCGTTATTTCTTACATGTTGGAAGTTGAGCAGCAAATAGGCTGAGTGAGGAAGGTGCTGCTTCAAGGGAAAGTAGTAAAAACCAACAAGAGAAAAGGAGTCCTCAGCACCAGGCTCTTGCTGTTTTGGGGGGAGTGGATGTATTTTTTCTGCTCCATATGCAGTTGTCAGAGTCAAATCCAGATTCTACCAGGATCTAAAAATACTGTGATGCATGAATGGGACTGGTCTTACATCTGCCTTTTTACTGTGATGTGTCTTGCAGGTGATTGTAACAAAAATGTTCTAAGTAAGCGATTAATTTGAGGTCTCTTGAAACCAGATAGTTCAGTGCCTTGAAAGCATAAGCTGCAGGTTGCAGATTGCTTTTGAATGCCTGTCTCTGATTTCTCACACTGCCCCTAATTGTGTAGTAGGCATGGGAATTACAAAAAGAATGATGAAACAGGTAAAGGATAAAATACCATGTGGTCATGAAAAAAGTCACATTTTTCAAATGACATTTATTGATAAGGGAAAGTTCTCGTTATGTTAGTATTATGTGAAAAAGCAAGAACCTTTATCTTGGCACATATAAGGGCCTAGATATTTCCTTTTAAATAAATGAACGTTTCATAGATGAATGTGGTGAAAACCTTATGTGTCTGTGCAACATGATGAGTCCATTGATGAATATGGTTCTTTGGCTCTTGAAATGAAAAACTGTGGACTAGTTGCCAAGAAGTCTGGGTGTCTGCCAAGCTTTTAACCCTCTTGCAGCTCAGTTTCCTTATCTGCGAACTGACGTGGTCATCTGCTCCAGAGTGGCCCATGGGGCCATTTTTGGTCTCATATGTGCTGAGTTTTGGTCAGGGACTCTGGACAAAGCAGTTGTCACTGAGGGGGATGCCATTAAGATGTCATTAAGAAGGATGCAGGTCTCAGATGGTTTGCATCACTTCGTCAGCCAGACTTGATCAACCTTGACCTCCTATTGTTTCCCATCATTTTCTATGACTGTCTTGAGTTTCTACCTCCTGAGCCACTCCTTGCCGCTGCTGTGTGAAGAGGCCTCTTGATTTATTAATCAATTAATCATTGCATGCTGAGGAGCTGTTCAGGGTAGTTAAACAGGGAAAACAAAATGCTGGAGCCTGTAATCAAGATGGATCGGAATTAAGAGTGACCCTCCCCCTGCTCATCTTCCTGCCGCCCCAGCTGCCCCACATCGCCTCCCTCACCCACAGCCCATCACACCTGATTCAGCCCCTATGGGGTTTCCACCCCATAAGAACGATAGCAAATTTCAGAAGGGGAGATTTTCTTCTAATGTCCCGAGGAAAATAAGCCTTGAGCTAAACCTCATCAATTCTGTATAACAGTTGTTCAACCTGTTCAACTAGGCCCCCAAAATGGCATATTGGCTCTGCCCATATGTATAAATACCGTACTCTCCTGCCCCTATTTCCCTGCAGATAGAGTCATGGGGTTGGAAGGACCTTACAGCAAAGATAGGCCATGGCCTGGGGTGACAGAAAGAAAAGGTTCAGCAAGGCTACGTAAGTTGTCCAAGGTCACACAGCTAATTAGTAGCAGAGCTGGAACTAGACGAGATTGGGCGGGTTCAGGGCGGTATGGCCGTAGACAACTGGAACTAGAACCCAGATATTTTGATGCTCAATTAATATACCTAATGCTCACTTCTCTGTGCAGTCCTGCTCTCCTGTAAAAATTAAAGCAAAGCAAATAAAAGAAATCATCCTCATTAAGTTCATTTTCTGATTTCTTTTAGATAAGGGTTTCTGAGCTAAAGAGTTTTTAATAGTTTTAGGTGAAGTTTGTGGGGAAAAGTATCTTGGACTGTTTATCAAGGAGATACTTTTCTTCTAATGGACCAGAATATCAGATACATGGGTGCAGGCATGGCCAATCCTGCCATGGGGCCAATGATAAACAGCGTGAATCTGTAGGGGTTTGCTGGGCTGCTGGAGAAGCTGGATTTCTGGTCCAGAATCTGTTTAGTTTGGTTTTCTTCCAATGGCACTTAGCACACAGTGCTAATGAGGCCAAGATTCACTTAGAATAGAATCTCTGTTCTGGGTCACAGCTAGTATCTCCATCTGCTACCAGCTTCCTGTGGTTCACAGGGGGCCACAGTGCATCGGTCCAGAGTGATCAGCCCAGCCAGGCCTGGACAATTGTTTGTGTCAGTGTACTGAAACCCTGGGAGCATCCAGGTGTGGCTATAATTCTTTAGTGGACACCAGGAGAAGAATCTGGAATGCTCTTATTTAACTGGGCTGGTGAAGAGCATGCTTAGAAATATTTTTTTTAATTCCTTAAAGTCTCCACTATAAAGATCTTACATTTGTCAAATGTGTTTGTCAGCTGGAGCTCTGCTGCCAGGCTGGCTGCTCATTTCTGTTGGGTGTCAGTCAGTCAGATTCTTTGGATACATCTAGGGCTTAACTCCTGAAACAGACATCTGAGTTGCACTTACCAGCCTTGATTTATAGGCTCTTTTTTTTTTTTTTTTTTGTGGCTTGTGTTTTCCAGGACCCTGCTTTCTCGGCTGTGATTCACGACAAGCTCCAGGTCCCCAACACCATCCGGAAGGCATGGAATGACAGGGACAACCGCTGTGACATTTGTGCCACACACCTGAACCAGCTGAAGCAGGAGGCCATTCAGATGGTGCTGACCCTGGAACAGGCGGCCGGTAGCGAGCACTTCGACGGCTCACCTGGCTCGCCCCCACCTCTCTCCAATATCCCCACTCTGGTGGGGTCCCGGCACGTGGGGGCGCTCCAGCAGCCCAGGGATTGGGCTTTTGTGCCTGCCTCCTATGCCTCCTCCAACTACACAGCCTTCGTCACCAATAAGCATAGCAGCAAACCCAACAGCCTCGGGGTCAGCAATGGGGCAGAGAAGAAGAGTGGGTCTCCAACCCACCAGGCCAAGGTCAGCCTCCAGATGGCCACCAGTCCCAGCAACGGGAACATCCTCAACTCAGTGGCCATCCAGGCTCACCAATACCTGGATGGAACCTGGTCCCTGTCGAGAACCAACGGGGTCACCCTGTACCCCTACCAGGTAAGGATCCTCTGAGCAAGGAAGAGCAGGGTTGGCTACAGTCAAAGCAGAAAAGTGGGCAACACTTCCTTTCTCTGCTTTGTGCTGGGAACTCCCCAACTCAGCCTAATGTTTCCGTGTGGCCTCTGCTTCTGTTGTCTGTACCGTCTGAAAGAGAGGTAGACTCCCATCCTAACTTCTCCCACCTTGATGGACTATAACTGTTTTCTATTTGCCACTCACCTTAGATACTGTGGGGTTAGGTTCCCAAATGTATGTTCCCCTTTTCTTATTTTCTCTTTTCAGTTATTTAAATTAGCATATACCCTCAAGTTTCCCTATGGAAAAAAGAGAGCAGGTCTTAAATCTGCCAAGGAATCTCAAAAAATGGTCTCAGTTTTTCCTGAATGAGTTTTCTGTTGGATGAGGGTTGGGTTTGCCATATGTGTTCTCTAAGTCCCCTGCGTCACCATGTGGGAAGCAGCAGAAAGCGCTGGCCGTTGCAGGGGAGTGGAGAGGTGGCCATGATTATAGAGTGTGTTGATCAGGGTAGATAATTGGTGCAACAAGTGGTCTCAAGTTATTTCTCCCTTGTGTCCCTTGTGTCAGGTTGTGTCGGGTGTTTGGGACGTGGCTTTCCATTATGACAAGTACTCAAGCTCCTCCAGCTAGCATGTCACCACTTCCCAGTGGCCTCAGAGTCTTCCACCAGATATGGTACAACTAGCCAGGAAATGAAGGAAGAGACAGAGGGTGGAGGATCCCACAGGGATCCAGGGGGGCCTGGGTGGAAGGGGCAAGAATCCAGTCTCCTGGGCTCACCTTCCCTCAGGGAAGGCTGGGAAAGCCAATCTGTCCATGTGCCCAGGAGAAAAAAGGAACAAGTTGAATGAACACATAGTGTAGTTTTTGTTACATGGGGCAAAGGTACAAGGAAACATTAAATGAATTAAATGTGGCTGATAAAATTCCTGGTGACTTTTCTAGAGTGTAAAAGGGAGTATAGATGGTTTCCCTTGATATGTTGGAAGAAAGTGGAGAGCACGGATCATTATCTGAAGAAGTTAGCGTTCTTGGGCTACCGCACTTTTCATTTATTGGGTGCTTTGTAGTTTACAAAACACAGAGCACGCAGCATTTTACTTAACCCCCAGTAGGCCTGTGAGATCGGCAGGGCGGATGTTAGAGCTTCCTGTTACGCGTGGGGAACACGATACCGAGAGAAATGAAGTAGTTACCTGTGGCCACGCAGACCAGCACTGGCTCTCCGTTGCCCACGGGGATGTGTTCCCTGCCACAGCTGCCTCCAGCTTTCCTAGCTTACCCCAGAGCAGTCTCCTGTCAGCATATTTTCCGGATACAGTTTCTTTTCAGACATGATACACCAAAGAAAAGGCCTCCAATTTTGACCCATGGGGGCCTGGCTTCCACTTTACTTTTGGACAGAATTTCCTGGGTTGTGGATATAAATAAAATGAGGAACGAGTGGCACCCTGGGTGGGGCTTCATAGTCTGATGCTTGACCATAACCATCTAGGGCAGGAACGGAATAGCTTTGTTGAATAATATGCTTTATATGTTTGTAATTTTAAAATACACAATTTTAAAAATTACAAAAAGTAATACATGTCTGTTGTAACATAAAATTAAAAATATAAAAAAGATTAAATAAGACTTTAAAAATCAACATCAACCAGAAATAAACTACGTAACATTTGGGTGTATTTCCTCCCAGTATTTTATACATCTGCAGCTTCTAAAACTGTGATTATGTTCAATTCTCTGATCTGCTTTTCACTTAATATACTAGGTACATTTTCTCATGCCATTAGATATTTTTCTAAAATATGATCTTTGTTGGGAGCCTTACATTCCATTATATAAATACTGTCCATTTTATAAGTGTGTCCTAATTCCTATAAACAAGCATCAGTTAATAGAGTTTAGGTTTTTGCTCCTATACATTAAAATGCTCTGGTGCACATCCTTCTAGCCAGGTCGTATTTTCAACACATCCAGGGTCGTGTTAACCACATACTCACATTACACAGACAACTCACATTTCAGCTTCCAGGGCCCCAGAGCACTTGTAACACGTGTCAGGTGCTAGTTAAGAGATTCAGCTGCTGCACTGCGCTGATGAGTCAGGACAGAAGAACTTGAAACTGCTGCTTTCATATAAAATACTCAAAGTGTGGGGAAAGTTTGTGCAAGCAGGGAAAAGCTGAAGATGCTGCTTTAAAGGGAGATTAGGGGTTTTTGGTGCATTTAAAAAATTTAAAATTGGTGCAGTAATTTTTTCTTCTCCTCCTCCCCCCTACCTCACCTCAGATGAAGAAGAATTTCCTATACAGTCACAAATGTTTATTAAGCTCTAACCAAGTGCCAGGCATTAGGCTATGTGTTGGGTGGGGCTCCTGCCATGGGCTAGAAAGGTAGGCTCCTGCCATGTGTGTGGTCCTTAGGGAAGGAGGCAGGGGAACCGTGAATCATAAGCCAGGAAAGTGAGAGCAGGGGTAGACAGATGCCCAGGCTGCTTTGAGAGCATGCAGAAGGGCTCACAGTCCAGCCTGTGGGGGCAAGGGTGGGTTGATGTGGCCAAAACCAGATACAAAGGTGATTCACGCAAGCTACCAACTAGAGATGGTCCTGGGTAAATTTGATTGCTTCTTTCCATCTCAGAACAGACTAATTCATGCATTTCCCCTGAGCAGTAGTTAAAGGCATCAGAGGAAATCTCTCTGGGATAAAGAGATTTGGTGCCTGGCTGTGAACCAGTGTCCCTGTGTCATGACTGTGCCATCCTGATGCCCTGGGGTGGGGGCTCTGGGTCTGGCTAGACTGAGTGGCTCCTGTTACTGACATCTCCCTGCAGTAAATATGCTGCAGTTCACAGTCTAGCCAGTTCGGCAGAGATGGCTGACTGCTCTGAAAGCTGACCTCACTTTCCTGCTCACCCTTACTCCCACTTCCCTCCCCACAGAGCAGATGGCCCTCTGGCTTCATGCCAGAGCTCTTCCCTGGGCAGAGAAACATCTAGACTGTGTTGCTGCCAAGGGTGCTGCTCCACACTGTCAACCCTGGAACCTGTAGAACAAAGGAGAGGTGGACACTGCCCTTCTGCCATTTAAGGGCAGGAAGGATGACAAGAATGAGGACGGGCTTTCCAACAGTGAGCAGGGTAAAACCTTGGTGTGGGTGCTAGACGAGTCCCTCATGTCCTCCCAAGTGCGTTGTTTGCCACACCACTGTGCAGCAATCTTCAAAGGCTGCAGTAGGAAGATTTCTTGGCCCTCTTTGGCTTTATCCTTCTTGATTCTCACCTCCAGAAAGAGTGAGAACCTATAAACAGCACAGATAAATATGAATCTTTCCAGAAAGGTAAGAAAAATAGTCTTTTAGGAGACACCTTAAGATTATATAAAAAATGTCGAGCCAACTGCAAAGATAATTTTTCATTAAGTATCATAGCAAATTGATTTCACAGAAGTTGATAAGTTGGACTCTTTCAAAGAAAGGCTTTCTTCTATTGACTGGCAGGCATTTAACACAATCAGTACATATCCATGGAAAGCCGAAAAGGCTCTAGAACTTTCAACTGGGTCACGTAAGTTTTGACTTTGAGAAGACGCGTCTCCATGAGTTTCTTGTCATTCACCACAGATTAATTACCTGTTTTTGACTGGCAACTGCTTTTGTCTGACTTACATTCATTATAGTGAATATAGTAGGAAGGACTTCACTTGTAGCCCTCATAAACACAGAATGTTGGTGTTAGGATCCACTTCTGTAGAAAGGTAATTGCCTTTTTTGTTTGTTTTTGTATTTTGGGTGGAAGTAATTGGGTTTATTTATTTTTATTGGAGGTGCTGGGGATTGAACCCAGGACCTCGTGCATGCTAAGCACGCCCTGTACCACTGAGCTGTGCCTCCCCCTTGTAACTGCCTTTTGTGTCGTGGTGGGAGATTTGGAGATTGTCCCACTCAGTTCACGTCCGTGACTCAACTGTTGGACCTCAGTTTAGTAGCTTAACATTTTAGTCCATTTTCTTACCGATGAAATCCCTATCTTGCAAGATTATATGGAGAACAATTAAGAAAAAAGTGTGAACCTATTTTATAACCTCTAAGGCAGGGATACCAATATCTGCTGTCTATTTCATTTCCCTCATTTGCCAGAGGAGAAACCCAAGGCTGAGTGATTTGAAGTTTCTTTTGTGCAGAGTTTCCTGATTGATGTCTTTTGCTCATTGAGACCGTAGATTCATTTTATTCTCATGTCTCTCAGAGCAACTAATGTGTAAAAAAGTGGTTGCTCATTCGGGAAAGCTCCAATCTCAAGGAAACACTAGAGTCTGGCCTTACATTTAGGAAAAAAAAACCTCCAGGCCATAAAGACTTATTCAGACCTCAAGGTTTTGGGTGGAAACCACCAGTTAATTGGCTCCAAGGTAATCTTCAACCTGAAGTCTCTTAATGATAGTCATTTATACAATGAAAGGAGTCCCAGTGGCATTTTGATGTCACACTCAATACAGGAGCATTTGAAAGGGTAGAAGAACTTTATTTTATAGGACCTTGATAAATTAAGCTTTCCAAGAAAGTTCAAGATGTCAGATTAATACATAAGAAACAGATCCATAATGAACCCTTAATGTGATGGAAGTATTCAATGCACATTCCTTGATTTGAGGGAAAATGTGTTTTTAAAAATTT